TATATATATTTTAAAAAAATTTTTTTAAATAAAATCAAAATTTTTTTGATTAAAATCTTAGATATTTTGTTTCAAATAAAGTTGTTCCGAAGCGAGACGAGCTACTTACATATGAGAACATATATAATATAATTTACAAAGAAATTCATATGAAGTATCGATATAGTGGTCTTGAGATAAATAGCGTACGACAATGGTCAAAATTCTAAAAAAGAATAGAGAAAAATGTGACAATTTGCATAATCCTATACTTTCCTGCTTTCAGATGTATGGAGAACAAAAATTTATGCTTGGATTCCATATGCTTTGGCAATTTAAGTTGTACGAAAAATATCATGAGGTATTTTGCACAATTGTTCTTAGTTAACATTATGATTGATTTAGATTAGGGTTTGGATCAAGATTGTTTCTTGTATTTTTGTATGACTCATTTTTATACTTTCATTACTATTATTATTATTATTATTATTATTGATTCTACGCATAATTCGAATTGTCATAAATATGCCCTTTTTACAATTTTAATCTGGCATCCCTATAGAGGTCAAGGTGTTCCATTAGCATGGTTATTAACAGAATCTCAAGACTCTGAAACAATCAAGCTATGGCTTCGTGCTTTGAAAGAGAATGGTTGGATTGACCCGATAAATATAATCTTGGATAATGATGATGCAGAAATTAGTGCAATCTGTGATATTTTTATTACGTCAAATATTTTTTTATGTTGGTGTCATGTCAAATACGCATGGCATAGGTGGATTAATAAACAAATACCAGGAAAAGAGCACAATGATTTGTTTTAAGATCTAAATCAACTACTTAGTATTTCTGATAAAAGTGAGATGAATAATGCTCTTATTAAATTTAAGCAAAAATGGCAACATACAGCTGCGATACAATATTTTAATGCTCAATATCGACGAAAAAAAGGTGAGTTATTTTCTATTATCTCTAAATATAGATATAATCATTTTTTTTTTTTGTCTTTTGTAATGCTCAAAATAAATTAATGCGGCAAATAATTGCCACTATGTAAATGCCAGATGCTTATTCTTTTTTAATTGTAAAAAAATATTATTTATTAGAAAT